ACCTATATCAGATTGCTTACCATCTGGGGGAAAGGGGAGGAAGGTATAGAGTCTGTAATTCAAAACTTTAAAACAAATGTTTAAAATTGTTTTTACATGTAATTGGGGGAAAATAAAAATTTTTTCTTAAAAAATGCTTTTTGACTAATTGCTTAATTTAGAGAAGGATTCTCAATTACGGCGTCCTTTTCATAGAGAATCTCCTGAATATATCTGAAATATCCAATTTGCCAAAAAAAATCTGATTTCAGTACACTTTGTTTTTATAACCACCTTCTCCTAAGGAGTTCAAACGGCAAGAGGAGTTTATCCAACTCTCTGATTCTATTTCCTGATTCTAGATCCATACAGCCAGAAATTCCCCACGAAACCCTCTCACTTCTTTACTACTTTCTCCATCATCCCCCCCCCACCATAACCTGCTGCTACTAAAGAATCACATTTTCATGGGCAGTTCTACACATGACCCATAGCTGGTCTTTACACCTTCTACCCTTCATTACAGGTGGCCTATAAAAGAGGCAGGCTTTCTGACCCTCTGTATTCTAGCATGGTAAGCATTTCACTGAATTAAATGCTCAGGGGAAGACAGTGTGTTGGAAGTTATCAATTCTCCTGTCTTGAGAATCACAGATCAACTAATCTATATTTATTACTCAATAATGTGCACTTACTATGTGCCCTGAAGCCTGATGGGGCAGCTCTAATACCCATTCTGTAGAGATCTGATATGTCCACCATTGGTGGTTCCCCACCTCAGGGGACACCTGGAAGTAGTGATCCCTGACTCTTCTCAGAAGGCAGCTACAAAAGTAAGAGAGCGCACTGTCCCTGATTTCAAGGAGGTATGATCTTTTAAGAAAAAAGATCAGTTCTTTCTTCCCAGCAAGTACCCATTGATTCACATCCAATCTTCCAGGTGAAGAAAATTTAGCATTTCCCTTCTACAGAGCTTTTAACATCCCTCTCCCTTTGAAATCCCAGCCATCAAGAGGAAAAAAATTAAGTGGGAAAGAGTAGACATTTTTTACTCTTGCACATGAAACTTTCCTGTTAGTAGGATCAGTCCTCAAATCAAGGGTACTAAGGGGCTCTGGAGCACAGATGCCTTCCTGAGAATGAGGTATAAGTAAAATAAAGCTGGAGAAGCCAGGTGGAAGCAGAAGCAGTTGTGAATGAGGAGCAGAGGGTGATGAAGAGGAAACAAGGGATGGCTGTGGGTGAAGGTGGGAGAAAAAAATGGGCCCAGTTTGAGGAGCAATGCAGTGGAGTCCCCAAAGGGGGCACTCTGGGGAATGGGAATACCAGACTGGGCTGTGCCAAAAATGGTATGATCATCTATAAAATAATTACCATTTGCTTTTACAAGACTATAGATACAAAAATGGGTGCAAAAATCAGAACGAATTCTTAAAACTGGTGTAGAATCTGGAAAATATTTTAACTTTAAGGAGAGAGAATGGGCTCCACTCAAATCAGGACCTTCCGAGGTCTAACACTTACAGGGAATCACAGTTCTCCTTTGGCCACAGATAAGCAGCTGTTTTGTTTTCTTTTTTTTCATTTGTAGCAAAGTCTCAGCTGTCAGAATAAACATCAGCAAATATCAGAAAAGCCGAAGTTTATTTCTATTCGGTTGTGCATTCACTAAAATATCTTTTTTTCTTCAACAAAACAAAAAGAGGGGACATGATACAAGGAAAAAAGCATAGGTACTGGTAGATGATTATTAGCTTTTGGCAAGTCATTTAACGTCCCTGGGCCTAGGTTTTCTCATATGCAAAATGAAGGGGTTGGACTAATGGGCCTCTGAGTTCTCTTCAAGCTGTAGATAGTTGATCTAATGATCCTTCTTCATAATGCCTGTAAATTTAGGGGGAGGGAGATATGCAGTGGTAAGATAGCACAGAATAAAAAAATGGAAGCTGCCTAACGATAAACTTTGGAGCCAAAACTCTCCAAAAGAGGGCAGCAGGAAAACAGCAAGTGGAAGAGTAGGTTCAATAAATATGAACTGGTAGAAAGAGTTCCTTACCTGGAGCTCTTTACCTGGAAGATGGTTTAAAAAAAAAGGCACAAAACATAAGCCACACTTGCTTGGCTGAAAATCACAGAATCATAGGATATCAAAGCTGGAAATGACTTGCCCTGTGTCACATAGCTAGTTATTGGCAGGGCCAGGACTAGACCTCATAAGCCTAGTGCTTCTCAAAATCCAGCTTACTGATAAATGCTCTACATGGGCCTCCCTCCCAGTTAACTAGCCTCCTACATCCTAGGCATGTCCATTCCATATAGTCTTCCTTACCTCCCAGAAGGACAGGAGACTTGGCTTCCTGTCCAAAATGGCTGGGTCTACTTCTATCTGTTCATATAGCTGTAGCTCTGTTTTAAAAACTCCTTGTAGGATGTGAAAGCTGGAAGGTCCCACTGTTATCCCAGTCTTTGGGGAGACACTATCCGACAGAACCCCAGAGGCTGGAATGGAAAGGGAAGAGGAAAAGGAAAGAGAGGATAAGGCGCCATGTGGCACTCTCTGGGAGGCTAGAAGGGTCCCAGACTAGGGGAGGAGCAAGGAGACCGGCTGGAGCGCGCTCTCTACCTTGGAAGTGTCCGTGACATTGGCTGTCATCAGTGCTCCAGAGACGAGCAGTGCCATCCTCGCTGCCCGTTAGCAGCCGTCGGCCGTCAGGGCTCAGGCTGAGCCAATTGATGCCTCCTCTGTGATCCGTGCAGACTCTCAAGGCGGAGCCATTGCCCCCCATTCTGCCACTCTAAAGGCGGAGTCCCAAGAAGGAGACCCCCTCTAGGGAGGGGCTCCCCAGCCAAAGGAAGGCAGGTTCCTCCAGAAACTGCCTTCAGACATCACCTTAGGAATTACACTCCAAGAGCCTGCAAAAGGTATTCATGTGTACGTGAGGGCACAAACAATGCATTCTCAGCCCTGCAGAAGCACCCCTGTTCCTAACAAAAGCATTCCCTCTAATCTAGCCCCTCTTATCTTACACTCTTACCCCCTTAAAAAAAAACTCAAGAGAAAAATTCAACTCAAGTGATTGAATATATCCATCAAAACTGGACACAGAAAAATGAGATTTCACCTCCTCACCCTCCTTCTCTGCCCCTCACACCAGTTCCTAGGTTTAGGACTAGAATTCATTGCCTGGAGAATAACCAAATCCCTTCCCCCACCTCCCAGCTCCCTACACTTCTCCCTCCTTTTTACCCAGGAGGAAATTCCCTCTACAGGACATATTCCCGGTTGGGGATGCCGCACCCCCCTCCCCGATTTTAGTTGAACCCACTGTCTGTCACCCTTCCAGCGCTACCAAAGCCCTAACCTTCGACCATAGGATTTCCACCCCAGTACCGTAAGGAGTCCCAAGAGAGGTAATTAACCCAAACTTTGCACCTTCCCTTACGACCTCCAGCCACACCGTCCGCCCCAAGGTACACCTAAAACCAAAGAAAAAGCTTCCAGCCTCATCCCAAGGTGCATCAACTCACGGACCTGCCTAGAGCCCATGGGGGTGATGGGGGTCTTTTCTTTTAAACTCCCCTAAGCCCCTACTCCTCCCTCAACTCAGAATTACTCGTTGTGGAGGGCAATAGAACAATAAAGTGAAGTCTGGCTCCTCCTAGGAGACCACCCCTCAACCTGTCCCCTCCCACTTTTCCGGGACTGCTTCCCCACCCCTATCCTTTACTTCCCAGCTTCCTCCCTTTCCGTGGTTCTCAGTCATCCTAGAGGACCCAACTCCTCCCTACTCCCTCCCCACGCCTTCCCCCTCCTCCGGCGCCAGGCTTAACTCACCTTTGCCCGGGACCCCCAATCGCTCCCTCCTTCCTCGCTCCTTTCTATGCTCTCTCGTTCCCTCTCCGCCCCCTCTCTTCCCCCGACGAAGGCTCCACGTGGAAACTTTCCCCGACCGCTCTGACCCTTCCAGGCCACTCCAGCCCAGACTCCAGGCAGCACCCCCACCCTCTCACCTTCCCCAAAGGCTGGAAGGGGAAAGGAAAACTGAAGGGGGAAAGGGCAGGGGGGAAAATTGGTTCTCCTGTCCCCGGGGAGGGGGAAAATTTCACCCCTCCAAGGGCAGCTAAACTGAAACCTAGCCACACCCCCTCCTGCCTAGGGAGTCGGGGGAGGGGGACTGGCAGCCTCGGATTAGGCAACACACACACACACACGTTCGCATATATACACACTTAACTGCGCTACATCCAGACTAGAGCGCTTACTGGCGAGGCGGGCAACAGGAGAGGATAAGGTTATCTTTAGGATTAAATCCTAAATTCGCTTCCAGAGTGAAATCGACTCCCTCTTCCTCCCCCCAAATAAGGCATAAACCTCAAATGGTGAGGTGAGGTCCCCCTAAGAGGTAGTTTTCTCAGACCTTGGGGCTACATACTGTATGAACCCTCCACCTTTGGAGGATTGGAGTGCAGGGAGGGAGCGAGCTGCTAATTAGCTGTATGACCTTGGGCAAATCACTGCATATTTTTGTGTCACATCTGTAACACCAGGAGTTTGGACTAGTTCAGTGGTTCTCAAACTTTTTGGTCTGAGGACCTCTTACACTCTTCAAAATTGTTGACCCCCCCCAAGTTTCTGTGAGTTGTATTTTTTCTGTATTTACTGCATTAGAAATTAACCCAGGGGGTCCCTGGACCACTCTTTGAGAACCGCTAGACTTGGTGATCTCCACGGTCCTTCCAGCCCCCAGCATAGACTGGCTGTTAGATTGCTTTCCAGGGAGGACTTGGGACGCTTACTTTAGTTACAGGACGAGCAGAGCAGTGCCTAAGATTGGGTTACAGTCAGTGTAGGCATACAGGCTCGTCTTGAAATCAGGAATCAAGCAGGAGCTCCTGGCACCCAGGTCTTTTGTTAGAACTTCCCCCACCCCCTGTGGCTGCTACTGCTCCTCCTCCTCGCTTCCTTCCTCCCTCCACTCCCCTCCCCTCCCCTCCCCACCAAGGCGTCAAGCTCCATTTGATCTGCCCGCTGAGGTCTCTGCAGGAATCCCAAAACCCGGCCACTTGAACCCTCTCCCAGAGCTTCTTCCCCCTGTTTCTTATTAATGCAGCGGTTCAGGAGCTCAGCTCAGTCCATCAATTCAGCAGTCAAGGGAGGATGGAGGAAGGGGGAGGGGAGCGACGAGTGGATAGGTGGGGAGGAGTTGACCCACTCGCCTCAGGATCCCTCTAGGTCCTAAAGGTAGCAAGATTCTCCAAATCCTTTCTTGCCCCTTCCCAAAATTCTAGAACGTAGAGAATGACTTAATAATGACTCTATCATATGGCTGGGCTAACTTCTCTCCCCTAGAGAAGGTACCCATACCTCCTCAAAAGATGATCCTGTGGCAAGGTTCCATTGGTCACTGAAGCTAACCTGGCACATAAGGAACTCAAAAGGAAAGAGGAATTACTCAACAAGTCTTTATTAAAAGGTACCTATCGCCTGTTAAGTGCAACCGGGAGGGGTAGGATTTGAATCCAACCTTGTGGGAGTCTCTACAATATTGTTGGTGAGATAAGAGTAACTCCACTCTGTCATTTATATAGGGTCATCTTTCCCCTCCTTTCCATTCTTATTGCCATCACTCTAATAGAGGAACTATTTACCCCTTGCTTACATCAGTGCCTTCTAATCTGACTTCTCTGATTTCTTTCGACTTCCCTGATTTCATTCACCTTCCCTGATTTCCTTCTATCCTTTCCCATACTATGCTTTTCTTTCTTTCTTTCTTTCTTTCTCTCTCTTTCTCTCTCTCTTTCTCTCTTTCTTTTTCTTTCTCTCTTTCTTTCTTTCTTTCTTTCTTTCTTTCTTTCTTTCTTGGTTTCTTTCTTTCTTTCTTTCTTGGTTTCTTTCTTTCTTTCTTTCTTTCTTTCTTTCTCTCTCTCTCTTTCTTTCTCTCTCTCTCTTTCTCTCTCTCTCTTTCTCTCTCTCTCTTTCTTTCTCTCTCTTTCTCTCTCTCTTTCTTCTCTTTCTTGGTTTCTTTCTTTCTTTCTTTCTTTCTTGGTTTCTTTCTTTCTTTCTTTCTTGGTTTCTTTCTTTCTTTCTTGGTTTCTTTCTTTCTTTCTTGGTTTCTTTCTTTCTTTCTTGTTTCTTTCTTTCTTTCTTTCTTTCTTTCTTTCTTTCTTCTTTCTTTCTTTCTTTCTTTCTTTCCTTCTTTCCTCTTTCTTCTTTCTTTCCTTCTTTCCTTCTTTCCTTCTTTCTTCTTCTTTCTTCTTTCTTTCTTCTTTCTTTCTTTCTTTCTTTCTTTCTTTCTTTCTTTCTTTCTTTCTTTCTTTCTTTCTTTCTTTCTTTCTTTCGCAGTTGGGGTTAGGTGACTTGCCCAGGGTCACACAGCTAGTTAAATGTCAAGTGTTTGGTCTGAGGCCGGATTTTAACTCAGGTCCTCCTGACTTTAGGGCCGGTGTTCTATCCACCGTGCCACCTACCTGCTCCTTATGCTTTTTTTCTTTTTCTTTTTCTTTTTTTTTTGGTACCCATCATGCCTTAAATGGTATCACCTGATGAAATTCTTCTCCTTTCCTTCAAGGACTAGATCAGGTGCCTTATTCTCCATAAATGCTTTCCTGATTCCTCCAGATATAAATCCTCCTTTTTCAAATCTCTCATACCAAATACTTTTTGAACATCTTTACACTCACAGTATTTAGTGTATTTGTTTTACTCCTACCCCACCCCCACTAAATTGTAAACTCCAAGAGAGATGGCAGGGGGTTGGCTTTGCTTCATTTTTATACTATGTCTTCAGGTTCTAGTGATTAATACACATTGCAATGAACTGAATTAACACTAGAAGGACTAGAATTTAAGAATACTTCAGGGTGCCAAGCAAATGTTTGCAGCAATTGACAAGAACATGAGTGGAAGAGAGGACACAAAACATCAGCATGAAAAAAAGCATTGACCTGGGAGTCAGAAAACCTTGTTTGTCCCATACTAATGATCAAACTAACTTCATAACCGAGCAGATCACTTCTTTCTTGATTTTAGTTCCCCCATTTGTCAAATGACTTGGTTGAGCTAGAAACTAGATGGTCTTGTGATTTGGAACTATATCCAAAGAGCTATAAAACTGTGCATACCCTTTAACCCAGCAGTACCACTTCTAGGTCTGTATCTCAAAGAGATCATAAAAATAGGAAAAGGACTCACATGTACAAAAATATTTATAGCAGCTTTTTTTTGTGGTGACCAAGTATTAGAAATTGAAGGGATGCCCATCAATTGAGGAATGGCTGAACAAGTTGTGTTTTATGAATGTAATGGAATAATATTGTTCCATAAGAAATGAAAAACCTGGAAAGATTTACATGAGCTGATGCTGAGTGAAGTGAACAGAACCAGGAGAACATTGTATGCAGTAACAGCAACATGGTATGATAATCATCTTTGATAGACTTAGCTCTTCTCAGCAATGTAAGGATCTAAGAAAATTCCAAAAGGCTCATGATGGAAAATGCTGTCCTCATACAGAGAAAGGACTATGGAGTCTGAATGCAGATCAAAGCATACTATTTTCTCTTTCTTCTTTCTCATGGTTTTCCCCTTTGGTTCTAATTCTTCTTTACAACATGATTAATGTGTAAATGTATTTAATATGAATGTATATGTATAGCCAATATCAGATTGCATGCCATCTTGGGAAGGAGGGGAAAAAAGGGGAGAAAATTTAGAATTCAAAGTCTTATAGAAGTGAATATTGAAAACTAAAAATTATTAAAAAAAAAAAAAAGAAACTAGATGGTCTTCAGGATCCCTTGTAGTCTAAAACTGGAACTCTAGACTAAACTAAACAAAAACTTTAGAACTGTAGTTGCTTGTAGTGTCCTAGAAAGAGTCTGGAGAGATCAGAGCTTAGATCCTGCCTCCAACACCTAGTTGTGTGACCATGGCCCCTTAACTTTTCTGAACCTCAGAGATAATATTCATAAAGTGTTTAGCCCAGTATCTGGCTCATAGTAGATGCTTAATAAATATTTTCCTTCCTTCCTCTTTCCCACCTTCCTTCCTCCCTCAATTTCCTCATCGGTAAAAGGGGCATAACAAATATGCATAGTCAGGCAAAACAAATTCCCCCAATGGCTTCATAAATAAAAGGTGTGTCTCAATCTGCACCCCAAATCCATCACTTCTCTCTAATAAATAGCACATTTCACCTTCAGTGCTCTGGAATTACAAATGGTCATTTTATTGATCATAGTTCTAACTGCTTTCAAAGTTTACAGTGATGTTGTATAAATTGTTCTCCTGGTTCTGCTCATTTCATTCCTTGACAGTTTATAAAAGTGCTCAAAATTGTGTATTTTTATGATATTGATGTTATGGTATAAATTTTTTCTGCTCACATCATTCTGCATCTGTTCATATGTCTTTCCATGCATTTTAAACCTTCTATTCTTTCAGCTCTTACACTTCAGAGTATTCCATATACATGTAAATATACATATATGTCTATCTATCTATCTCATTTATTCAACTCTTCTTTATTTACTGGGCATCCTCTTGGTTTCCAGTTTTTTGTTTCCACAAAGAGTTGCAATAGATATTTTTGTACATAAAATTCTTTTCCTTAAAACAATTTGTAACTGGGCAAGAAATAAAGAGATTGGTCAGTGAAACAGGTTAGATATACAACATGCAGAAGCAAATTCATCTAGTACTCTGGTATTTGACAAAGGCAAAGCCAGATGCTATTGTGATAAGACTCACTATTTGACAAAAACTTCTTGGAAAACTGGACAGCAGTATGGAAAAAATTAGATTTAGACCAACAACTCACACCTTATACAAAGAAGGCTCCTAATGGGCATTTGACCTAAATATAAAAGGTAACATCATAATCAAATTAGAGAAACCTGGAAAAAAAATATCTACCAGATCTATGCATAAGAGAAAAGTTCATGACAAAATAATATATAGAGAGGATCACGGAAGATAAAATTGATAATTTTGATTACATAAAATTAAAAATTTTGTGCACAAATGAACCTAATAAAGCTAAAATTAAAAGGGAAACAGCTGGGGAATTTTTTTTTGCAGTAAATTTCCTTGATGAAGGGTCTCATTTCTAAGATGTATAAAGAATTGATGCAAATTTATAAGAAAAACATCCATTTCCCAATTAACGTCTAAAGATATGAACAGACAGTTCTCAAGGGAAGAGATTCAGGATATCTATAGCTTTGGAAAAATGTCCCAATATTAATTATTGAAATGCAAATTACAGCAATTTTGAAATTCCACTTTACACTCATCAGAGTAATAAAGATGACAAAAAAGGAAAAGAATAAATGTTGGAGGGGCTAGGGAAAACCAGCCACATTGATGCAATTTGATGGACCTGTGAATGGGTACAATCATTTAGGAAAGCAATTTAAAATTATACACAAAAATTATACACAAAACGGTGCGTGCTGTTTGACCCAGCTATACCACTGCCAGACTTATACCCAAAAGAGATCAGAGAAAGAGAAACTGCCCCCCATTCAATGCCACTCCCCCTTCCCTTCAGACCTAGTCCAGCGCCACTCCCCCTCCCACACCCACAGTCACAGAGATGTTCCTCTCTTCTTTAGTTTTCTGCCTGGGAGCTGCTAGAGACGCTCACTGTAGGTCCAGGCGAGGCCACTTTTGCTTTCCTTAACATACATCTCCTCTGCAATGGTGGTGGAGCTGTGGGCAAGGTTAAGGGCTGTTGCTTGTTACCACAGAATGGTGGGGTAAGGCCAGGGGCAGGGTGTGCTGGCAGAGATAGCAGAAGCATCAAGGGATTTGCTGAGTGAGTCTCGGAGCAGAAGCCTGAAAGTACGGTTGTCCTGCCCTGCCAGAGTGTGGGGAAGAGAGTGCTGAGGAAGAACAGGTTAGAGATTAAGGATTCAAATGATCCAGTGTTCATTTTGTTACCTTGTCAGATTTCTTGGTGTCTTGGGCTGGAGAAACATGCAATTATTCTACCTCTTGTGAATAATTCATATTGGGGAGAATTTATTTTATTTTTGAAATTTTTTAAATATAAATTTATTTATTTTTAGTTTTCAACATTCACTTCCACAAGATTTTGAGTTCCAAATTTTCACCCCATCTCGGCCCTCCCCCCACCCCAAGATGGCATACATTCTGAATACCCCTTCCCCTAGTCTGCCCTCTCTTCTATCTCTCCCCCTGCTTTTCTTATCCCCTTCCCCTTCTATTTTTCTGTAGGGCAGGATAGACTTCTGTACCCCATTTCCTGTATTTCTTATTTCCCAGGTGCATGTGAAAACATTTTTTTAAACATGTGTTTTTAAAACTTTGGGCTCCAAATTTTCTCCCTTCCTCCCTTCCCACCCACCCTCACTGAAAAGGCAAGCAACTCAATGTAGGTTATACATGTGCAGTTATGCAAAACACTTCCATAGTAGACATGTGAAAAACTAACTATTTCCCTTAATCCTA